GCAGCCAGTGCTCTGCTGCCTTGTGAATTTCATCACAATTTTGTACGGTTTTTATTTTCCCCCATTTGTTTTTAATCTTCTGTCTTTATTTCTCCCATCTTGAATCTGCAATTAGTGACAAAGGACAGGGGAATAGGAGGCTGACCCAAGGAAACACTCAAGTTTCCTGCTTGTTACTTGGCCTCTGCCCTCACTGCCCAGCCCCCCACTGCTGTCCCCAGTCGAGATTTTAGGGGGGTTCATACAAATAGGACAGCTGAGTACCCTGATCTCTATGGGGCGTTAGCCAAGTGATTCACCACCCTACCCCAGGGGACAGAAGATAAATCTACAAAGGGACAGATGCACCATCTTTATTTTAAAAGAAAAAGCCCCTTTAGATTTTGTTACTAGGAGTCTCATTTGTGAGGTCTGCTGAGTTTTCTTCCCCAATCCTACCTTCTTACTGGCTACCTTTTAATATTATAAATAGTAAAGAAACATTCTAGGCTATGTACTATAAAAGAGTACAATGTTTTCACTCTGTAACTCAACACTAATTGATAATCCTGTCCTGTTGATTGTGAGCCTTCAGAAATGTTTAATGCTTGACGGGTGGTTTGCGAGACAGGGACTTTTTTTTTTAAACAACTTTATTGAGGCATATTTTACATAACATAAAGTTCACCCATTTCAAGTGTACAATTCAATGATTTTAGTAACTTTCCTCAGTGGCACAGCCATACAGTTCTCAGTTTTAGAACATTTTCATCCCCCTCAATAAGATCCTTCATGCCTATTTACATGATAATACCTGTTCCTAGCTCTAGGGAATCACTAATCTTTCTGTAGCTATAAATTTGCCTTTTCTGGACATCATCTCAATGAAATCACACAAAATGTGGTCTCTTGTATCTGGCTTTTTTCAGTTACATATATTTTCGAGGTTCACCCATGACATAACTTGTGTTAGTAGTTTGTTCCTTTTTTATTGCTAAATAATATTCCATCGATGGGTATACGTTTCGTCACCAGGGGGTCTTTTAAAATTGGATTTCAACCTCCTGGTCTAAATGGAACCCTGAGAACATAGGGCTCCTGGCGGGGCTGCTGCGCATGTCAAAGGGACTGCCTATCAGAACCAGCTTCGTCATCAGAAGCTCCGCGAGGAGCCTGACCTGCTGCAGAAACTTTTATAATTTTGCAACTTCCTTTTTACATGAAACTTCTGTGCTGTCTACACATCGGGCTTCTGAAGCATCTGATAATTAGCTTAATAAGTTGATGAGCATGTGTTTGAGTGGACAAGAAAGTGAAACCATCAATACTGTGTTGAATATGTTTTCCTCCCCGACAAAATGGAGGAATCTCAGAACGTGCTCAATAGCGTCGTCTCCATTGCAAAGCGGAACATGTGTTAAAGACCGTGCTGCCTTTGTTAGACCAATTTGGAAGGAAAGAGGCCAGCCAGAAGAGGCGGTCAGGAGCAGAAAGGGAGTGGACTTTGCGGTACATCCCAGCGGGTCTGTGCACGGCCCACGCATCTGCTGTTGTGGACGGTGAAGCGCCGAGCGTGCCAGGGCAGCTCAGCACCTCCAGCAGGCCCAGGCCTGGACTTTGGACCTTTATCCCTATTTCTCAAGTGTTTTAAAAGCTGTTTTTGTTCCTTTTTTTTTCCCTAAATACACATCACATGGTAGTTATTAATACTTTGGGGGAGGGGCAGGACTTTAAAATTGAAGAAAATACTTTTCATAAGAATATCAAAAATGGAAAAAAGTTACTTTTTTAAAAATTTGCTATACAAACCAAATGGCAGCTGTTGAAAATCTCATTAAAATGAGAATAAAATGCATTTGCTGGCAGTGGTACCCTTTTTCCTACAGTTGGGTCATTATATCATGCTACAAGGGGCCGTATGTGTGGTATGTGTTTGATTTTGTCTCAACGTGGATCACAGTTTTAGTTGCCTAATTTTCCATTCTAAATGGTGTTGCAAAGTAGTGCAAGCATTGTGTTGGAAGTCACAGACCTGAGTGAATCCCACCTCCACCACTTTGTGCCTTTGGCCTGAACCTGTTTATTGGTAAAGGTGTGACACCTTCCTCCTGGGGGCTATTGTGAAAATTAGACCAAATTTAATTTCAAAATACTGCCTGGCATATGATAGGCACTTAATACATGGTAGTGATAGTGGCAATAATGTGTGTGGCTTTGAACAGAGGCGGTAACAGGAAATCCTTGGGTTTGAAGGGCAATTGGATAGCTGCTATTTTCCTGTTCCTGGGGAAAACTGACTCATCTAGAAAACAAGTAAAGGGCTTCTGTATCTGCCTTTCAACTACTGAACAAGTTTGAGAACCTGCTAGGTACCAAGCATTGTCCTGGGTACCAGCGCTGCTGGAGTTAACAGGCAGACATCATCCTTGCTCTTGTGGAGGTTGGTTAGTCTGGTAACTCTTACTCGGTTTACACCTAGCTTGAATCTCCCAATGATTCTCCGAGGGGCTTTATCGTAAAAAGATCATGGGACCAGACCACAGCCAATGGGTTTTGTTTTGAGTGCTTTTATTTGCCTCCTTCCTACAATCAGGTTTAAAAAAATCTGAGCTGACTTGCCTATTTACAGCTTTTTGAGAGAGTTGTGTCTATACAGGGCCTAACTATTCACAGCCTTACAGACATGAATGGTGTATTCATTCACTTAAAATCTTCATTAAACTAAAGTCCATTAAAGAGAAGTGCAGTATTGTAAGCGGTATAGTCCCTAAATTTTTACCAGCCTTCTGTTGGTATAAGGTGTAACGGTATACTCATTTTTAATCCTTATATTAAAAATCCTTAGAGCACTCATCACAGCTAGAAGACATTCAGTGAACATTTGCTGAGCGGATGGCGCAGATGAGGCCGTGCTGTCCACGAGATCACACAGGTAGACGAAGGCAGTGCCGGCCTCTTCAAGTCCAGTTCTTGTTCCCAGCTCTCCTGTTTGGCTGTTACAAGCTCAGATGAGATGAATACATACATATTTAATGCCTTGGCAGTGCAGAATCCCATTAATTGCTCCTGATATCTTATTAGTGAAGGAGATTATAAAGTTTAAAATTAAAGGGGGAGAATCTCATCAAAAATCACTTATGACCTGCACTGCAACCTCTGTGTAACAGAGCCTAACTGGAGAATAAGCTACCCCGTCACATCTCCTTTGATCAAAGGAAAAAGGAACACAAAGTGACCTTGTGCAGTTTAACATTGCCTTCAGTTTTTCAACTAATATTTAGTGAATACTTATGAGCTGGCACTAGAAAGTCAGTCAAGCTGTGCTCTAAGCCCTCCACTGTCCATCTGGAATAGTAGAGCCTGGACAATGGTAAGGAAGTGATGGCTGTACCCTGAAGAACATAAATATCTTTTTTTTTTGTGGTACGCGGGCCTCTCACTGTTGTGGCCTCTCCCGTTGCGGAGCACAGGCTCCGGACGCGCAGGTTCAGCGGCCACAGCTCACGGGCCCAGCCGCTCCGCAGCATGCGGGAGCCTCCCGGACCGGGGCACGAACTCGCGTCCCCTGCATCGGCAGGCGGACTCTCAACCACTGCGCCACAAGCCCATAAATATCTCTTTTTAAACTCTTCACCAATAGTTTTAGATTATAAATCCGAAGTACTGCTTGATCCTGGTCCTGAGATCACGTGAAAAGACTTCTCCAAAGTTCACCACTCATCAGTAAGCGTTATTAGGACTGAGATGGAGCAAAGGCACTCTGCTGTGTCCCTGACTCCTTGCAAGCTTTTTAGCTGATGATGTACTGGTGACTTGCTGAGAGCTCACCCCAGTGGTCTGGGCCATACCTAGATGTGAAGAGGGCTGGCTGTCCCTTCAGAAGGGACTTGTCTTGAGTTCTTATTGTTGTGTTGAGCTAGAGCTGATGGGACAAGAGCCGCTACCGTTGTGTTCTAGACAGTGAAATAAGTGTCATCTGACTTGGGAAACAAGTATTCAAGACCCCGTTGAGAGCCTAATCAGAGCTCCAAAGTTATTGGGTAGAGCTCCCTCAAGTGCAGATCCTGGACCTCTGCAGCAGAAATTACCCAGGGTATTTGGTAGAAATGAAAATTCCCCATCTCATCTCATCCTTGACCTAATGAATCAGACACCTTATGGAAGGGGGAAAAAATAGAAACCTGAGTTTAAAACAAGCTCGTGAATAACTGACGCACAGCAGTTTGAGAACTGACGTTCAGGACATGACCCATGCCTCTAACAGCTTACACTCCAGACACCTGGAGAGGCAGCCACTGTGGATCGAGACTCTGGCTTCAGTCTTCGCCAAGCAGCACGGGCAGAACAGGAAGCTCTGGGCTTGTCTTGACCAATCCAACTGCAGTATCCAGAGGACAGGAAATCATGTCTGCTCCTCACTGATGTTCATCATTCCCGCTGCCACACAACAGTGTCATCCTGTAACCAGAGCCAGGCCAGCAGTCACCAGGAACACGTAGGCTGCCTAGTTGTGTCTAGTTGGCCTTCTTGGATATCAGCCATCCTCACAACTTCTTAAGAGCTCATTCATGCAGAAAAGCTGCAAAATGTGCTGTTCACCTGTAAGTACCAAATCCAGTGAGGTAAAAATTCTCCCAGATTAGAATTGTACCCTGTCCCCTAAATCCTACTGGGACTATCAAGAGAGGGTGTGATATAGCTAAGGTTATTGCTGGTGATGTTCTCCATGGACAACACTTGGTTCCACTAAAAATGGTCAGGCAGCAATCTTGACCCTTACCTTTGACTGGAGAAGTTAACTGGCAGCCACTTGGCATAAGTATCTAACGTGGTGGGCAGGGGCAGCACACAGGTTATCTGCCTAACCGTGTGGCGAGCAGATTGCAGACCACAGGCCAAGCATCTGGGGGTGGGGCTTTAAACCCCGGGCTAAAACCATCTCTGAGCCCTCTGGGATACCTGCTGGCAGGTGAGCTGAGGATGTACACGGCAAACGTACTTGATAACACAATCCAACTGGGGAGTGGGTAAAGTGCGTTTATTTTCTTCTGTATGTTTCTTTTTCAAAAAAAAGAAAAGGAAAAGGAGAAAAAGCCTCCTGCCTTCCAGCACCCAATGTCCACTGGGCTTGGAGGGGGTGGAGCCAGGGCCAGCCCCCTAGGAGAAGGTGTAGGAGTAGAAGGCAATGGCATTGACGCTGTAGTCCATGGGGAGGAGGTGCCCGATGTGCCTGGCCCCTAGGCTGGCCCCGCCCAGGGCAGAGGAGTGCCGTAGCTTCAACAGGGTGAAGCTGGAGAAGGAGTTCTGAGCCTGGATCTCTCTGCCCTGGGTCAGCGCCAAAAGGAAACCTGGAGGAAAGAATGTAGAGGATGGAGGTGAGAGACCAGGGAGAAGGTGGGGACAGAGGGAGGGAAAGAAGAGGCCCAGGCGCTGAGGCATCCTGTGGAGGTCCCACATGCCAAATCCCTAACAGATGGTTGCACCAGGGTGCGTGAGTCCAGTAACGGCTGTGGGGCACTGGAGCCCGAGGCCCCCAGCCCCCGATGCCTCCCGGGGGTTCCTAGCTAGCATCAGGGATCCTGGAGCTACTTCAGAGTATCTAATGGAAACCACACAGCCACCTGAAACAAGCTGCAAGATTGCAGAAGGCACATTTCTTTCCTTCTAGCTAGGATTATGGTGACTGGGATGTCACCACATGCTGGTCAGAAGCTCCAATTTCAAGTTAGATTTGTCTTTAATTTTTAAAAGGTGGTGCCTATTTAATAAATCCTTTGGAAGAGAATGTCTTTCTAAGAGTGCAAGGAAGCTGGATGGGACATTGTAAAAGGGCTCCCTGGAAGAGTGAAGGATGAGGGTCTTGGTCGGAGACATCTGTGGCCTGCCTGTCCAGGCCTCAGGGCCCGGGTCCCAAGTCCTCCCCAGGGCAGGCTGTTTTCCCAGGCCACCCCCTTTCCAGCCCCATCTTTTGCCCTTGCCTGTCTCAATCTGCCTCCCATCCTATACTCACCTTCCTTCAGCAGCTCCCAGCTCTTCCACACAGAGCCCACACACAGGATGGGGAGGCCAATCTCCCCTTGGAACAAGACCTGGAGGAGAGCAGAAATGGATACTGGGGGCAACCAAGCCTCTCCAGTGCCAGAGGGGGAAGTTCGTTAAGACTAGCCCAACCTATCCCGGTCACTCTCCCTCTAGCTGAGAACCAGAAGGTGGACTCAAAAGAAAAAAAAAGGGAGAAAAATAGAGAGATTCATAAAGGCAAGGTAGAGAACGGAAGAGAAAAAAGAGTTAAGCAGCAACACAGAGGAAGAAAAGAGAAGGGAAGGAAATGGACAGAAGCAGGACTGAAAGAAAGGGGACAGTACATATACCACAGTAAGCCAATCTGCTATGTATAAACACGGATGAGGGAGGGCACTGACCCAAAGAACTTTTTTGTGTTATAGACTTCCTGCAGAATTTTTCTCATACCCTAAGTTCCTTTAAAATCGTATCCAGTTTACAGTTTGGTGGGACAGTCTCATTCTAATGGGAAAGGGCCAAGTCTGGCCCAGCAGCTCCCCAGACTCCACTTCCCCCCTTCAACTCACCGGGTCAATCTCAGGCAACACTGCCACAACGTGTCTGCCCAGCATCTCCCCAGCCTTCCTGAAGATGTAACGGGAAAGGGGATCTCCCTGCTGAGCACCTGGGGTAGGGAGGAAGGAATGGAGTGGGCGAATAGCCAGGGAGGCTCCGGTCCTCAGTTACTCTCTTTCTCTCTCTGTCGCAGGGCAGCAACAGTGCAGTGCGAGTACGATGGCTAGCAGAGGTCTCAACCAGGAACAGATGCTCACCCCACGGCGTGTGGGTAAGCCAGCCTCCAGAGCTGCCTCTCATCCTTACCCACCAGCCCCCACCAGCTACTTTCATCCTAGGAAGGGTGTCCTGGACAGAGGTGGCTCACTCCAGGCACTCAAGAAGGGCAGCCCCGCTGGGGAAAACACTGGCACCTGGTCTGTACTCCAACTTACACTGTTATTCAGTCTGTCCCCGAAGGTCTCTCTGCTCTGGGGACCCAGGACCCTACTTGAACAGCTGGCTGGTACTCCTCTCGGGGCTGCCCACCCGCCTCCAACAGTCTGCTGTTAGTCAGCCCAGCCCCTTCCTAGCTCTGCTCTGAAAGGGCCTCAGACCAGCAGGAGCTAAGAGGGCCCTACAATGCCCTGAGGCTTCAGGAATCCAAAGTAAGGGAACATGGACCGCACACTGGAGCAAAAGCAACGTGCAGACGAACAAGCCCTATGGTTCAGCTCCTCCTGAAACCCAACCAAATACGCCTAACCGCTCCGTGATTCTCTAGGCCTCTGGGTATCACTCGTTAAAAAAGAAAGTTATAGATCTGCCCAAAGGATAACTGCTTCATAAATTTCTCAGACATAGACATACAGCCTGCACAAGCCGTGACAGCTGTCACGAAGAGAAACAGGTAATATAAAACGACTGGCAGTACAACCTGCGTGTCCTTCTGTCTCCACCTCAAGGCTCACCAGTACCAAGGCCCACGGTGGCAGAAAACTGACGGCACTTGGTCAAAGGGAAATTGGCTTCCAATCCCCATCTGAACCCTGCTCCACCCTCCAATTAGGGAGGTCTTTGCAGAACAAAGTCAGATAAAACCCTACCCCATCTCCAGTACCTTCTGCAACTTTCCGGCAAAACCCAGCAAACCTGCATTTATCAAAGTCCCTATACAGGTGGGTGAGGATTCCTAGCCGATCTGGCACCTGAGAGACACAGAAAAGGCACAAGACAGTCATCAGAAGCAAAGGAAAATTCCCAGTCTGCCCACCCAGTTGGCCTTCCTGATGTCTCTACTGTTTGAAAAGCTGGAATAATATTTGTTTAAGCTCTAGAGTACAAGGATTTGAGATTTCTCATTTGAGAAAAGTTATGTTTTCCCCAGCATGGCCTCTACTGCTCTTTAGAGGTTAGCCTGGACGCAACACAGAGCCCAGACCTGCGCTCACCAAAGAGTCTTCTGCAGCTCCTTGAGGTGCTCTTGAAAAGATTTCTTTGTCGAAGGAATCTAACCACTACTGCTCATTGCACCTCTCCCTTAAGAGTCACAATGCAGATCAAAGGCTCTGAGAAGTCAAAATTGATTTGTTTCTCCCACACTTATTTCACCACATAAAGTGCATCTTCTACCTCAACTACCTTACACACCTGTAACGCCTCTGAAGGTCCCAAGAACCAGAGATTCCCTAGAATACGTTACTAAAATGGAAGAGGGCGTGGGGGGCTAAAAGCTGAGCATCTGTGGCAACATATTAAGCATGTCATACATACTTTGTCATTTAATCTTTCTAATGTCTTAATGACTAAACAATAAGAGAGGGAGCAGTAGACATATTAGTGGTGTTCAGAACCAATCTGCTGAGTCAGCTCGCCTAAGTGGCCCTCAGCCAGAGAGATGTCTCTCAAATAAACTTACTTGCCTTCTCCTCTCTCGGCCTCCACCTCTGGTGCAGCTAAAGGCAGCTGTTTCCTAACCCACTACAAATGAGCACAGCCCAGACAAGGAGGGCAGTCAATCCCTGATGCCCTCCCTGGGTGGGAAGCTGTACCCTCCCAAGAACTCTCCCTGCCCCTCTTTAACAGGCTCTCCTCCCTGACCCATACAGACAGAGGCAGCTCACTGGCCAACACACCTGTTCAGACTTCACCTGCTGTCCCTGTGTCTGTGTGCACTGTCTCCTGATCTCACCCTGCACCTCTCACTTCAGCCTAAACGGCATCTGCCTTCAACTCGCCGCAGAGTCTAGCTGCCCAAGGATGAAGTCCAGCCTGTCCGCAACCTACCCTCTCCTCATGCGGGGAATGCATGCCCACCTCATTCTGAATCCGGTCCTCACAGACGACTTCTCCATCCTCCAGCTCTGACAAACAATTCACCCCGACTTCCCCGGGCCCACCCAGTCCCTCTCCTGAATTCACTCCTGCTCGGTCTCCCGCTGCCCTATCCCAGGTATGCATGTTTACCAGGGGCAGAGGAAGTACCTGGAAATAGTTGAACATGGCCTGTTTGACATAGCCAATGTCATGAGGCGCCGCCTCTAGGTTGTCGATGGAGTCAAACACTATTTTCACTGCTTGGTGTGCAATCCAGTAGGCTGCAGAGAGCAGAAAGGGCTAAGAAGATGGGGCAATCTCCCCGAGTTCACAGGGAAGGAAACTCACACCTAGACAGGGTTGAGTATTACAGAGAATTAGGTGCCCCAATTCCCAGCCTGGGGTCCTCTAATTAAACCATATCTGACTGATCCACGTAAGGGAAAGCTGGAGGGGGAAGACTGAACAGGTGAAGCTGCGTCACATCAGCTCCCATCCCCATGTAAAGACCAGGTCAGTCAGCTGCCACCCAAACCACGAGAGTCACGGCCAGGAGCTGGACCCTAAGGGCCCTTATGAAAATGTCCACCTGCTACCTATGAAGAGGTGATGGTGGGAGGAGCTTCTAGACCCCCTTCCCACTAGCAGACTGGTACGGCACTTCCTGACATCTATGGCCTTAACCTTCACAGTGTCAATTCCCTCCTAAGGACTCCAAAAGTCAACACGGGTAGGCAACGGCTATTATGCTGAGGCATGAATCTGAGTCCTGGGTGCAAATCACTGCTGAAGAGCACGGCCAGCCAGTAGTCCGGCATTTGCATCTCTAGATCTTAGTCATTATCTTGGTCTCAGATTCAGGCGCTCTCCCCAGGGAGCCCCAGGGGGTCAGCAGGCTGAGGGGAGGGGAAAGGAAGATGGGGAGCTGCAGGAAGTGAACGGTCCAGGACCCTGAGCCAGGCCCAGTCGGCGTGAGCTCACCTGAGCCCTCATCTCCCATCATGTGGCCCCAGCCACCACAGCCGCTGTCAGAGCCATCGGGGTTGATGAGCCTGCAGTTGGAACCTGTCCCAGAGATGAGCACGATCCCACCTGGGGAAAGGGCACAGGAGACTCAGTGTGGCCGAGGCCCTGCACAGAGCACACAGCTTCTGACTGAGGAAAGAAAGGACAGAAACCAGCCCCAAGCAAAGGGATCACCACCCAGTTTTGTAGAGAAAACCGAGCCCAGCTAAGTTTCCTGCCTGAAGGTGGAGGGCCTGGGTCTCAGAGAAACTCCAATCACATATTGCCCTTCTCTAGGGAACAGAGAGGCACACGAGTCTGGGTCTCCTTGCCCAGCCAGCCTTCAAGTGACTACCTGCTTTACTGAGTCCCTACCATGTGCCAGGGATTGTGTCAGACCCTATTCACACAGTGATACTCATTCAGTACCCTAAACCACCTTATGAATACAATTACCCCCATTTTATAGATAAGGAAATTGAAACTCAGAGCGTTCCATAACTTCTCCAAGATGGTATAGCTGGCAAAACAGGAGCTGAGATTCAAATGCCAATCTCACGATACCATCACTTCTTATACTCCCGTCACAGAGTTCCTCCCATTGTCTTTTCAGCACTTGCTGCTTTCTCCAGCCAGCTTCGTCCCTGCACTGCCCAGGGGCTCCCTCCTCTGCAACGGAGTCTCATGTTGGGCTCCTTTCTTGCTTCCCATCAAGACACCCTTCCTGCCCTCCCTCCTTCTGTCCAGTGCCTGCTCTGGCAAACCTCAGCTAATGAAGGGAGCAGGGGCTGTGATGAAGGCTGCCTCCCAGGTATTTACTAGTCAACTTCTGCCAGCTAAATCTAAGGGGCTTCCCCAGGAAAACCGGTTCTCAACCTCACCCCGCCCTCCACCTCCTCACCATCCGGCGTAGCTGTGGCGATGGAGCCGGCGGCGTCAGTGGTGATTAAGTAGCTTTCGCTCAGGTAGGGAAATCGGTCCCTCAGCTCCTCCATCAGGATCCTCACCGCGTCCTCCTGATCCCCACCGCTCAGGGATAGGCCCTAGGCCACGCGGGAGGTGAACGAGCAAGCAGCGCCCCAGACCCAGCTCCTTTCTCGACCCCCTCCCCTCCTACATCTGCTCCCTGCTTGCTACCGCTGGGCATACCCTGTTCATGAAGCCCCAGTCCTCCCTCTGCCACACACAGTGCCTCATCGAAGGCTGCGGCTGCAAGAAGAACCTGGACTGAGCCCTGCCAAGACGAAGGATTCAACAATGCCAGGTCAGGAGCTGGGGAGGACAACAGTGCCCTTAACAGAAAAAATCAGGCAGAGGAGCAAGTCGAGGAGAGGTAAGCTTGGTTCAGAATGCGTGGGGTTTGGCTGTGCCTGCAGGACATCTCCCTGAGGATACGTCCAGGAAGTAGCCGGAGCTACAGCAACTCGGGAGAAAGCTGAGCCAGTAATAACAGGTAACATTTAATCAGACCTTATGGGTCAGGCTCTGTGCAAACCACTTTGGGGTGTATCATGCCATTTTACCATCCCAGCAACTCTGAGGTAGCTACTGTTTTCCGTATTTTCCAAACGAGGAAACTGAGGCTTCGAGCAGGTAAGTAACCTGCTTAGGGTCACACAGCACAGATGCTGAGTGACAAAGCTGGGATTCAAAGCGAGGTCTCATGGCTCTCCAAAGCCCTGTGCCCTTCCAATCCTTGTGGCTTGTAGGTGACAATGCAGCCACAAGAGTGGATGTGATCAGGTGAGTTTCTAGACCAGAGACTAAGCCCTCAAGGCCTTTCCCTTTGCAGTCATCGGACTCATCTAGTTCAAACTCGCTGTCTCAGTGTTGCTGTGACCTAATTCCCAAACTCTACCCAGACTCACCAGGCTTCGTAGAGGAACAAGAGGATCCACCCCTGCTTTCCGTTTGGCCCTGTTCACCATCTCGTTGATCCTCTCCACACACTTGTCTGTCCCGATCAGCTGGCCCCAGTCAAGGGAAGGAGGAGTTACAAAGGCCTGCATGGCCTCTGTCGCCCCTACAGGCTGCCAAGTGAGCCCCCAGCCCCCACCTGAACAGGAGTTCCAGAGAATGAAACCACAGTCAAGCCCACTGGTCCCCTCAGTGTGGCCTTTACCCAGTGGTTTGTGCTGAGTCCATCCGCTTCTGCCAGGATCTGCCCATCCTCTGAGAGTAAAAGGACCTTGGATCGTGTGCCTCCCCTACAGAACACAAGGGGGCACTCAGTCTTGCTCAGAAAAACCTGCAGATACAGCTAAACTTGTGCAGTCCTTGTCATAGGCAAAGCCCAGAGCGAGGGGGACAGCTTCAGCAAGCCCAATCACCATTCCCAAACCCTCCTCTGTGGTTGGGTGTTTGCTGGGCTCCTGCAAGACCCTACTCATATATTACCTCGTCCTTGAAACCTCCGATGTGTGGCCCACCACTATAGCTCCATTAGTTCAGCCATGTCAGTGCCCCCATGGACTCCTCTGTATTAGAAGTGCGTTAAGCTGTTTTCCTGTCTGCCTCTCACTAGACTACAAGTTCCACTGGGTCAAGCTCTGGATCATTTATTTACCCTCATTCCAGGCACAGGTAACACTCAGTAAACGTGACTAAAAAGAATGGCACGTCTCTCTGCTTCTCTCACAATAGCTAAAGGCTGCCTTTAGCAGCTCCAGCTGCCAAGATTTTCAAGACACGCTTGTGAGAAATGCTGGCCAGATGACAGGAAGAGTTAATACCTGCTTAAGCAACTAAAGGGTCAAATGCTTATTACTGGGAGAAATGGTAGTTTGGAGGGAGGTCTGTGGTGGTGTGATGTATGTTTCTTTATTGATCAGTACTTTTAGGAATATCACAAAAGGACACTGAAGACCTGCTGATCAAACTCAAAGATGACAAGAAGTTTCAAGGGGTAGTTAATGCATGAGGTGGCAGATTATCGTCCCAAAGAACCTCTTGACAAACTGGAAAAATGGGTCATATGTTACTCATGAATATAACAGGGCTGAACGCAAATTTCTGTAGGTTTTTTTTTTTTTAAAAAAAAACAGTGCAATAAATACAGGGCAAGGGAGATCAATCATAACAATGCATGTGAAAAAAAAGACTTTGGGGTCCATGAGTCAGCAGAGAAATGTGACTGCCACTGAAGTAATGCAATGTCAGATTCAAAAGTGAGTGCCCTAGCTCAGACCCTCTACTGTGCCCTGATTTGACACACCCAGGGGACCCACACCCACATGCAGGGGACTTAGCGATCATTCGGTTCATCCCTCTTATCACTTCACACACGTGGTAACTGAAGCCCAGACAGGGCAAAACTCTTGCCCATAGTCACACCGAGGGGAAGAGCTATTACAAAAAGTCCTGCAGACAAGCTTCCGAACAGGAAATAAGCAAGAATAACAGAGGGTTGGATCTAGAGTGAGTAGCCTGGAGTGCCAAGAATGGAGGGGTTTCAGCCTCCCCCAGCTTTAGGTCCCAGATACCTTCCGGCAAAGATCACTGTCCGGGATTCCACCACACCCCCGCTCCCGACCCCCAGTCCAGCAACTTCACACCTGACACCTGTTCTGCAAAACTCTCTCCGGAGCGGGAATGGAAAAAAGAAGCTTCTCCAGCGGAGCACCGTGGAGTGGGTCTTTCGTGGGAGAAAGGGCTGTGGTTCCGCCGCTAAACACAAAGGACCTCCCCCGGGGTGTGGCTGTGGCACACAGTGCCCACAAAGCACACGACCGCGCGCGCAAGGGCACCGTCGCGCGGGCACACACTCCTCCTCCACAAGACCCCGCAGCCCAAAAGCCCAAAGTGGCCGTACCCTGACTGAGGTGGGAGGTCACCAGCCTGCCGACCTGGCCACGGGCTTCCTCCCGCCCCGCCCTCGGGCCAGAGAGTGGTCCAGGCCGCCCCTTCCGGACTCCCTCCTCCGGACCGCACTCACCCCTCTACACCCCCATAGAGCGCGGCCATGCTGCTGCTACCGCCACCGCGGATCCCGCCGTTTGCTTCCCTCCTGTCGGCGATCCCGGCCCTCCAGCCCGCTGGGCACCGCCCCGCGTCACGTGAACGTCCGTGCGGTCCAGCCGACTCCCAGTGCGCGTGCGCGAGGCGTGGCACCGTGGCCCGCCCCAAGCCTCAGGGCTACTGGTCTGGCTTTGGCACCGGGCTGGGTGAGTGCGGTCCTCAGCGGCTCCTGCAGATCGCCTCCCCGCCTCCTGAGTCCTGCTTCTGGAGATGGATACGGGATCCCAAGCGGAGGAGCCAGGAAGGGGTGTTTGGGCCGGACCCCCTAGCCCCGTTGCACTGCTTTCCCCTCAGTGCCCGGAAGTTGCTGGCAGCTCCGCCTCGCGCGTGCGCAATGCGTGGGAGCCACGTAGACTGGGTGAAACAGGACAGTGAGGTACGCCTGGCCAGACCCCCACTGGGGTGTGGGATCGGGGAGCTGCACGAAGCCAGGGGACCACTGGGAGTCCTAAAAAAGTGCACTGTTCAACCCAACACCTGCCTGGCGATGGCAGAGTCACACCGTGGGCACACGAGCACCCACTAAGACTTTACACTGGACTTGTGTGAATATGTGTAACCAGGAGTAACCAGAAGCAGGCTGGGAAAGGAGAAAGCCCCCCAGGCTGTCCTTGTAAGCCTAGAGATGAAAGAGTTCAGCTTTCACTACTTTCCAAAGAAAATTGGGTTCTTTGTAGAGGGTATTTGGGGGCTGTAGACTGCCAGGCGAACTAGCAGATACAGTTTGTGAAATAAAATTCATATTTTATGGCAAGACAAAAATTTAAACATGAAAAGTTTTATCTGCCCTTTGGCCTCCTCTCTCCCCCCTATTGTGCATTGTGTATCTGCATTATGGATCGACCAAGCCTCCCCAAACTCTTGCAGGAAGGGGGACCCCTTCCGGGGCCGGAGGGTGGGCTCTTGTCTAACGCTCAGAAATGAATTGTTCGAGGAGACACACGTGCTGACAAAGCAAGAGACTTTATTGGGAAGGGGCACCCAGGTGGAGAGCAGGAGGGTAAGGGAACCCAGGAGGACTGCTCTGCCACGTGGCTTGTGGTCTCGGGTTTTATGGTGATGGGATTGGTTTCCAGGTTGTCTCTGGCCCATCATTCTGACTCAGGGTCCTTCGTGGTGGTGCACACATCGCTCATCCAAGATGGATTCCAGTGAGGAGGATTCTGGAAGTTTGGTAGGACAATATGGACTGGAGTCTCTTTTTGACCTTTACCAAATTCTTTGGTTTGGTGGTGGCTTGTTAGTTCCGTGTTCCTTACCAGGACCTCCTGCCATAAAACTACTTGTGCAAATGGTTACTTTGGAGCCTGGCCAGTGTGGGTGGTTTCGGTCAGTGGTTCCCCTAAACAAAACCTCCATCGGCAGAATTACCAGCTTAATCATAAAGAGCAACGTTCTCCTAACATCGGTAAGACAACTCCTTAAAGATAACATTCCTTCTTGATAAGGGGTCACATGGCACTTAGCTCTGGATTATGTAAACTGTCAATAATACATCATTTAATGTACAGCCATCTTTCTCAAAAAACTTGTATTACTGTGCTTTGACTTCTAACAGGTGGAACAGTGCTGAGAGCTTTCTGAGATGCTCTTCTTGGGTTATAATCGTCAAATTTGGCTGGAATAAAACTTTCCATTTCTTTCTTAGATCAACTGATTACTTTTTTGTTGACAGGTTTTACAAGCCTTTTGTTGCCCTCCAGCCACCACTGCACTCTCCTTCCTTACACGGGGTCGTGACAGGGAAAGGGAGGACAAAGGGGAAAGATGCCAGGCCTGGGAGTCAAGCTGGGGCTCCTGCGTGCCTCTGCAGGCTCCTCTAGGTGGTTCTGGGCCCGTAAAGGGCAGCAACTCGTGCTAGAAGGACAGTCAGCTGCCCTTGGTGTCTCTTCTGGAACATCAGTCTAGGGAGGGGTCCTTCGCAGGGCCATTCTCAAGCTGGCCTGTCCCCACTCCCCACCCCCATCTACCTGCCCAATAAAAATTAGTTAAGAGCTATGTAGTACTTTATGGTTTTCAAAACTCTTTTAATAGTTAAATCCTGTGTTAGCCTGTGTAGGTGGCTGTTTATCATCTCCATTTTGTAGAAGAGAAGCAGCAGCAATTATGTGTAATTCACCCAAGGTCATCCACTAGTAAATGGTGAAAATTCTTATCTTCACACCTTTCTCTTTTGCTTCCTTTTCTAACAAGAAATACAAAGGGAAACTTTAATATTGTCGTACACATAGATCCCAAGGCTCATTGCACTAGTGCATGGAAAGGTACAGTCTTTTCAAAATCCACCTATATCTCCTTTCCTTCAAAACTGCCAGTCTGGGGACTTCCCTGGTGGTGCAGTGGATGAGACTCCCATCTTCTTAAAGAGAAACCCTGCACTAGGAGCCTCTTTCCCTGATAGCCAGCTGGGTCTGGTTATGCTTTGGTGTGAACATTTGGTGTATATGTACTTTTTAAACTAGAAGAGAGGACTCTTTTCAGTTCTTACATATTTGGGACACTGAAACTCTTCAGTTTAAGCCCCAAGAATAATTAAAAAGTAAAGCACTGCATCATAGGCAATATTGGAGAGAGGAGTAGGATTTTTTTTTTTAATGCCCACCTATATCATTTACATCCATAGCACATCAGACCTGGAAGGTGCTTAATCCAACAAGCACATATTTTTAAAATAATGGAAGTAATAGATTCTGGTGAAATTAAACTGGCAGGATTTTTTTTAAAATATTTATTTATTTATTTATTTGGTTGCACTGGGTCTTAGTTGCGGCAGGTGGACTCCTTAGTTGCGGCTCGCCGGCTCCTTAGTTGAGGCACGTGGGCTCCCTAGCTGCGGCTCGCAGGATCCTTAGTTGTGGCATGTTAACTCTCAGCCGCAGCAGCATGTGGGATCTAGTTCCCTGACCAGGGATCGAACTTGGGCCCCCTGCACTGGGAGCGTGGAGCCCCATCCACTGCGCCACCAGGGAAGTCCCAAAACAGGGAGGATTTTTGAAGGAAAGGAGATGTAGGTGGAGTTTGAAAAGGCTGTACCTTTCCATGCACTAGTGCAATGAGTCTTGGGATCTCTGTGTACGACAATATTAAAGTTTCCCTTTGTACTTCTTGTTAGAAAAGGAAGTAAAAGAGAAAGGTCTGAAGATAAGAATTTTCACCATTTACTAGTGGATGACCTTGGGTGAATTACACATAATTGCTGCTGCTTCTCCTCTACAAAATGGAGATGATAAACAGCCACCTACCCAGGCTAACACAGGATTTAACCATCAAAAGAGTTTTGAAAACCGTAAAGTCCTACATAGATCTTAACTAATTTTTATTGGCATTACTAATCAATGTCTGCTGTCCAGCGCAGTAGCCACGTGTGACTATCAAGCGCTTGAAATGTGGCTGGTCCAAAATGAGATGCACTGTGAGTGTAAAATACAGGATGGCAAAGATTTCGTACCAAGACAGAATGTAAAATATCTCCAGTAACTTTTATACAAGTTACATGTTGAAATGATATGATTTTGGAGACAGTGGGTTAAAATTATATATTATTAAAATCAATTTTGCCAGTCTGTTTTATCTTTTTTAATATAGTTACTAGAAATTTTAAAATTATACACGTGGCTCACACGTTTCTATTGCACGGTGCTGTTTTATATCCTGTCTCCTAGACATCTGGGCCAGAATCTTTCGGTCATTAAGTGCCTGTTTATGAACTATGATTGATTTAAAGAAGAAAACTGCATTGAATAAATGACTGTACATTTGTGTTGTACGTTAAAGTTCTATATAAAGCTCTTTTAGGTACATTTATCTCATTTGATCATTCTAACAACCCCATGAAAATATCAGATTTCTAACCACATGTTACAAGTGAGGAAACTCTGGAATCAAAGTTATTAGCCTAGGTTCACACAAATAAGAGATGTTGCTTAAAATGTGTGTGGGTAGTTCCCGTAATGGGAAGGAAATAAAGATGTTGCAAGGCAGACAAGTGTTCACCACTGTATAGCTTGTAAAAGTTCAATGCCCCTTTGTACTGGACTTGCAGCATCCTGACAGCTGCTCCTGTGAAACTCATGAGGTTGGTAAAGTCCTCTAAGTATGTGCAAGCCGCAGTTTCATTTTCTGTCTTCTCTAGTTTGTCCCCATGACTCCAGAGAGGCCCTATTTCCTGGGGGATGGAGGGGTCAGGTAAGAGGGACAGGAGGGGAAAATATCTCCCCTCCCAAATCCACTTAACGATTTGGGGACAGAGGATTTGGTGACCCAAGATCCTCAACAGGTTGTGTTGACTTGGTTCATGAAAGCACAACCACATCTGTTTTTACTCAGCGCTGTATTTCCAGGGCTAACCTCACTATCTGGCACAAGATAGGAGGTCCATGAATGGTTTTGAGAGTACTTATAAACTATAAAGCACTGTACCACAAACATGAGAGCTAGTAAATGCTACTGTGAACTAAAGAGGGAAGCAAGCAGATTCTACGGCAGAGACAATTTGCAGAACAGACTGGGGAAGAGAAAGACGTTTGGAGAAAATAGAAATGAAACTGCGAATTGGGGAAGTGGGAGCTGGACAAGTGGTCAGGGGGCCTCAGAGGGATCTAGCCCTAATCTGTCCTGCATTGGGAGATTGCCAGTACATGTGTGACCTCAGCACCGCACTTTAGGATAATTAATCTGGCAGGTTCCTTGTAGCAGGACAACTGGGAGGGAAGAGCCTGGAGCAGGGAGACACTTAGAAGGCTGGGGCAATGGCCCAGGCAAGAGATGAACAAGGAAGTGATAAGGGACAGGGCAGAGGTCATGGGAAGGGATTGAAGCTGGGGTGCGGATCATACTGACCTCGTCCTCTGTTGATCTAGGATGAGGGCAGGGACAGAGGCTGGAGTTGGCTTTCTTACAGTGAAAGAGAGAGGGGTGAGGGGCTGCCTTGCTAAGGGTGGAGGTGGGACTCTGAGGCTGGTTGATGTAAGGCAAGAGCTCTTCCAGACCGGCAGGTCCCCCAGGAACAATCCAGAAGGGGCGGGGTGCACACAGAAGCAGGTGTGGATACCTGGCTATACACAGTCTGCCCTTCAAGTCTCCTCTGCCTTGACCTGAAGTGGTTCTGAAAGGGGGGCTTTGGGCCAAGGCAGCTACCCCAGAAAATCCTGTTGGTTTTCTCCCTCTTACTGGGCATGTGGGTGTTTATGTATGTGTTTATATGCACGTTTTGGCTTGTGTCATCTATATGTAGATGTGTGTACATTTATTTATATATTTGAACTTGTCTTTGTATATGTTTCTAAGTGACTACACGTGTCTACAAGTGCATGATTTGAGATAATATCTTTTTTTTTTTTTTGGCCACCCCTGGAGGCATGTGGGATCTTAGTTCCCCAACCAGGGATGGAACCCGTGCCCCTGCAGTGGAAGCGTGGAGTCTTACAACTGGATCGCCAGGGAGGACCCTGAGATAATATCTTTATGCACTTTTTTACTGGTGTATGTACAGAATTAGAATTTCAATTCTTTTTTTTATAAATTTATTTATTTTTGGCCACATTGGGTCTTCGTTGCTGTTCGCGGGCTCTCTTTGGTCGCTGCGAGCGGGGCCCACTTGGCTACTCTTCGTTGTGGTGCTCCGACTTCTCAGTGCTGTGGTTTCCCTTGTAGCAGAGCACAGGCTCTAGGTGTGCTGGCTTCAGTAGTTGTGGCACACAGGCTCAGTAGTTGTGGCGCACGGGCTTAGTTGCTCCGTGGCAGGTGGGATCCTCCCGAACCGGGGCTCAAACCCATGTCCCCTGCATTGGGAGGCGGATTCCCAACCACTGAGCCACCAGGGAAGTACCAGCATTTCAACTCTTAAAGGAACCTAAGCAACCTGCATATCTAGGCACCTTTGAGCAGATGCACAGATGTACAAGTGTAACTTTGCAGGTTGTGCTGGAGCTGGCCTGCACTAGCTCACAGAGAGCTAATTGTGCACATCTTTCTAACTTCTGTTCAGTGGTATGGTATTGGTAGCTCTAACTTACCACGGTGTGAGTATTTATACCACAGAAATCAGCAACTGGTACCAATCACATTGTTGTTATTTTTATTTCCCAGAAATCTGACTGTTAAACATTTACAAGCACACACTGGATAGATGTTTGTCATGTGTGAGAATGTCGGTGGTCTGTGTATAACAGTGCAGAAGTACGTATATGAAAGCGTGTCTTGTGTAATGGGTCCAATTTTTTTATAGACCACAGACTCAGGGGTGCAAAAATGCAACTAAGTATTTTCCCACAACTAAAAGTAATTTCTGTCTCAACCCTCTGCTCTTAATCTAGTCACTTACAGGGGACCTCGGGCATTTCAGGTTCAATTTAGATTGAACACTTGTCCGCCTCTTGGTTCCCCGTGTTTGTGTCTGAGGGCCAGGCG